CTGGAGCCACGAGAAGGAAGGGCCCGGTCGTCCCTGCATGGTTTTGGTTTTTCAGAAAGACATCCCCAGTCTCTACACAGAGGATGCGATGGTTCTATGCACCTGAGCAAAAAGCCCAGAGAAGTTGGTTCTCAAACTTGGTCCTGTGTGGGGATCCCCTGGGGACCTGTAAGAAGTCCTGGTGCCTGGGCTCCACCTCCAGGGATTGAGATTTAGTAGGTCTGGGTGTAGGCTGGCAACAGGGTTTTTAAAACCTCCCCAGAAGAGTCAAACATGCAGCCAAGGTTGTGATTGGCAGTCTAATACCCAACGGGTGTCCGAGCTGGAGGGAACTTTGCAGGTCTTCAGCTGAGGAGACTGAGCCCAGAGAAGGGGGAGGCCGAGCAGCCGGGACAGGTACTCTCTGTTCCTGCAGCCCCAAGGGCTCGCTCCAATTTCCTGGCCCTCCACAAGCTGCTGAGCCTGAATCCTCCCTCCTGGGTGCCTAGTGGGACGAAGCTGCCACCGTGGGAAGAAGAGGGCAGGAGCCCCAGGCCTTGGGAAGGGTGAAGGCTGGCCCCTCTCCTCCAAGCCCCAGCTCCCCCTGCAGGAGGGCCCCACCTGCGTGTAGATGACATTCCCACCCCCACTTATGCAAAGCCCTAATTAGCCTCCCTTTTGTCTCTAGTCACACCCACACCATGGAGGCCCCTGGGCACTAATGAGAGGGTGCGGGGTGGGCGGGAGTGGGGGGTTGTCATCACTGTCCAGCCCAGACCCTCCTGCTTCCTCCCGCCTGGCAGCTCTAGGACCTCCCAGGGTGGCCTGGCTTGAGGGCTGAAGCTGGTGGGTTTGGATGAAGCCGACTTGCTCCCTGGGCCAGGATCTGGGTGGAGGCTGGGTTCAGCGATAGCAGCTCGGAAGCCCTGAGGGGTTGTTTGTCCTCAGGAAATGGCACCGCTGTGCTGTTAGTGCTGAGCCTGGCCTCTTCCAAGCCTGGGAAGAAAGGTGCAGGGCGACTAGCCTGAAGGTTGCTTTGGGTACTCGCCTGGCCCCAGGACCTTCCATCCCTCCTAGAGCACAGTGGTCTAGGAGAAGGCTGGTGGCAGATGCCCTGGGAAGGGGACGGAAGCTTTGTATGTGCTGGGAGCCACCCCTAAGGGCCGAATCTGGAAGGCAGAGCCCGCTCTGCTCAGCTCGGAGCTTCCCCAAGCCTACAAGCCACAGCACAGACGCTAGCCAGCGCCTGGGCGGAAGGACGGACCTTCTCAGGCAACCAGGCAGAGAAGACCCATTGTGCTAGGTCCCCATGCCCCAGTCATCCAACAGTCCCTTTACCCATTCATGGAACACATGCGTAGCCCACACCTCTGGTGTGTTGGGGAGGCCCTAAGCCCCTCTCAGCCTCCAGAGCTGGCTGATCCAGCAGGGGACTGTGGACTCAGGTGGTCTCCAGGGAGTCCTGCCCCTTCTGTGGCTTGTCCAGGGAGCTGCAGAGGCCTGAGAGCCGCAATGTGTCCATGAGCACAAGCATCAGGAGAGGCTCTGTGTCCTTAGGCAAGTCACCCCACTTCTCTGGGCCTCTCTAAACAATGCCCATTACAACTGCCCATCTCTGCAGCCCACGGTCATCATGGGAATCAAAAGGGGATGACCCCACCAGAGCCAGCAAGTGTCTGGGGAGCTTCCGCCAGGCACAGGGCTCTGTGCTTGCACCGTGGGATCCACGCTCCACACTGTGTACACCCCTTGCCTCCTGGCACTAGGGATCCTTTGGTGGGAACCACAGTCACCAACAGTGGAAAATCTCGGGCAGGAGAGACCCATTGTGACTCCAGGGATACGGGGCCAGAGCCGCTCAAAGAATGAAGGATGCAGGAAATGCCAGGGTGTACAGCCCCTGCAGAGCTGTCCCCACCTTGAAGGGCTGCCCTGTCCCCTGTCCCCTGCCAGGGCAGGGCCGGCTGGTTCTCCACGTGTCAGGGGCTTGGCTCTGCCCCTCATTCGCCACGTGTCCTTGCGCAAGTCACTTAATCCTGCCAAGCCTCAGTTTCCGGATCTGTGTAACTGGGTTAATAATGTTTACCTTGTAAGATTGCTGTGTGGGTTAAATCAGACAACAGATGTGACAGAGCTTTGTGGGTTTTCTTTAAAAAAAAAAAAAAGAGAGAGAGAGAGAAGAAATTAAAAAGAACTGCAGATCTAGTCCAGGCCCGGCGCTCTGCTTCCTGTTCTGTGAGCTGAGACTAATGATGCCTGCCCCGTCCCCGTGCTCACCCTGCACAGGGACGTCCTCCGCGGTAAACATGCCGCACATATGTCAGGGATTACTGCTGTTGTCGCTATTGTTGCTATAATACAAGCGGATTATACATTTTATTAAAGTATGGTAATTACTATTTGTCATCATCTCCATAAAATCCACCCAGCCCAGCCCGCCTCCCTGCCGCAGGGGTGGGGCTGCCCTCGGCCTGACCTCTCTGCTCCTCTCCCCCAGTGCCGCCCGATGACCCCGTCATTCTGGGGGGGCCCGTGATCAGCCTGCGGGCAGGGGACCCCCTCAACCTCACCTGCCACGCAGACAATGCCAAGCCCGCGGCCTCCATCATCTGGCTTCGCAAGGGAGAGGTCATCAACGGAGCCACCTACTCCAAGGTGAGGCCTGGGGGGGGGGGGGGGGGGGGCTGTCCCTATCTGCAGCAATCCCTCCCTCTATGCCTGTCTGACTGTCACCTTTTGTTTTTCTCACTCTTTGCCTATCTCTGCATCTCTCTACTCTCTCTCACTCTGTCACTTTTTCTCTCCCGTGCTGTGACTCTCCCACCCGTTTGTGTGTATGTCTGTCCTTTCATCTGATCTTTTCTGTCTCTTTTTGACTATGTAGCATGCTCTCTCTCTCTTTCCTAGGGTAACTGCTGGGCTTGGTGAAGACCCTAAAAATAAGGCATGGTTCTAAGAGGAGGCTCAGGGACACAAGTGGCCAGCGCCCAGGGTTGCTGTATAAAATACAAGGTGCTGCTGCGGGCTGAATGTTTGTGTCCACCCACTAAATTCATATGTTGAAATCCTAACCCCCCCCCCCCCCCCCAGGTGCTGGTATTAGGAGGTGGGACCTTTGGGAAGTGATTAGGTCATGAGGGTGGAGCATCATGAATGGGATTAGAGCCCTTACTGAAGAGGCCCCAGAGATCCTCACCCCTTCCACCATGTAAGGAGACAGCGAGAAGACGGCCACCTCTGAACCAGGTGTCTGGCCCTTGTCTGACACCAAATCTGCCTTGATCTTGGACTTGCAGCCTCCAGAACCGTGAGAATAAATTTCAGTGTTTATAAGCCACCCAGTTTATTGTACTTGTTAGAGCAGCCCGAAAAGGCTAAGACATATTCCCAGTTAAACTTGAATTTCAGAAAAACAAACAACTGTCTCAAATATTGCACGTGACGTACTTATGAGCTATACTTATACTAAAAAATTATTCACTATTTATCTGAAATTCATATTTAACCGAGCATCCTGTAATTTTATTTGCTAAATCGGCCACCTTTCCAGGGCTGCCAGGTGAAAGAAAATGAGCCAAGACACAGGGATGCCAGGTACCAATCAAGCTTTACTAAAGGGAAAGAATCTGCTGGGCTGTGCTCAGAGTGGAGGGCAGCCCGGGACGGCCCTCAAAATGGAGGACAGCACCAGATACAGGAGTGAAAAAGCTTATATAGGGCACCAAGGTCTGGCTGATACCATTAAGGAGGGGCATTATGCTAATGCTGAAGTTATGCAACCAGGGTAGAGAACTGCACCCTTGCAGAAGCAAAAGGGTAGTTTCTGTTTTGCAGAAGTCATGAGGCTTCTTGTAAAGAGAAGCGGGGAGGGGTTTGGTGCTGGAATGGAAGACAAGGCTTGGTGGCTATTTTGTGCTTATTGTGTGCATAATGACACTGGTCACATCCAAGATCCATCACCAGGTAAGGTGTGGATCTGCTGTGTCCAGGGCGCCTGACTCAGGGGCCAGGGAAGGCTGAAATCCAGCCCATAACCCCTTACCAAGCCCTGTGTCCTGCTGTCCTGCTGTGCCTACCAACAGGGATGCTTTTCTGTAACTCACACAGGGTACCATGGCTGGAGGGACTCTGAACTGGCCCCTGTATTAATCATGTTTTTTATTTTCTGTATTTTATGATGCTTTGACATCTTGGGGCCTTGCAGAGCCAGGAAGGAACTGCCCCTCCCAGGTTAGCTAATGCCTAGAGACAGCAAACAACTTACCTGCAAACATACCTTTGACATGCAGACCATCCCATCCTGAGCCCACGCCCTCACCAGCTCCTTTTATCAGGCTTCCACAGAGCAGGACACTCTCCCCCTACCTTAAATCTCCCCAGGGCCACATATCGGACAACTATAGACACCCCTACAGCTCAGAGCCCGCTGAAATTGTCCAGGCTGTGCAATCCTCAACCCGCTCAGCTGCCCACCCCACCTCACCGCTTCCTTTCCACACAAACCACAGAAAAGGCTCTGCCCGCCTCTCCTTCCCTCATCCCCTGACTCACTCTGGTACTTCCCTGTGGCCCTACATGGCACATTATGCCCCTCCTCTCAGGAACTGCACCAAGCTATCTTTTCAATGACAGTCATCTCCTGATCTGTTGGCCTTATCATACCTGAATAAAAACAAAATTCCCAGCACATTTTGAAATGTGCCCCACCAAACCACTCGAGGAGTCCCAGACGGGGTTTATGTACCCCAAAGCCTTTAAGGACATTAGAGGACAGCTGGTACAATTCTTTTGTCTGCAGATAGAAAACAGGCCTGACAGGGAAATGACTGCCCTTCCCAGCTGCCAAGTGGGCAGCACCAGGCCTGGAACCACAGTCACCTGAGTCCCAGGCCTGCGCTCCTGCCAGGATAGCCTCAGGCCTCTACAGTCCAGGACACTCTCCCTCTGCCCTAAATCTCCCCAGGACCACAGATCAGACAACTATAGGCCACCTCTAAAGCCCAGAGCCCACTGAAATTATTCGAGCTGCCCAATTCTAAACCTTACAATGAGCTCAGAGGGCACCACCCAGAAGCTGTATCAGGGCCCAGGGCAAGCCAGACCCCCGGGCGCTGAGCTGGAGGGAGCTGCCCAATTCTAAACCTTACAATGAGCTCAGAGGGCACCACCCAGAAGCTGTATCAGGACCCAGGGCAAGCCAGACCCCCGGGCGCTGAGCTGGAGGTCAAAGCCGTCCAGAACCCCAGCTCTCCTCTACCCAGGCCCTCCCTGGCCTCAGAGAGTGGGGAGGTGCACAGCCTACTCCCCAGTCCTGACCTGCCCCCAGATCCTCTTCACGGTCCCTGGAAAGATAAGCAAGGCCTTTGCCATTGCTGGGGCGAGCCTGGCCCCACACTGAGAGTGTGCCCTTCCTGTCCAAAACTGACCACCCTGCCAAGGGTCACCCTGCAGCTGCTGATCAAAGATTGGCCCCCACCCAGAGCCTAGGGCCAGATCCCAGACAAACGCCTTCCCTTGGGAACATGTCCATCAGGAGAAAGCTGCCTTGTGAGAGACAAATCCCTCACTCATGTCCTGGGCTGGAGCCACACTGTTGTGTTACGAAATACAAAAGCTGCACACAGGAAATCAATCATGCAGAGGAGGATGTAGGGGATGGGAAGGGGTGTCCCTCCCAGCCTGGGTGCCTGGCCGCCTGGCCAGGCCCTCCCTGAAATTAGGCCAACCTGGCCCACTCTGGGGTTTATGTCCCACAAAGGACACACCTCATCTCGTGAAGAGAAGTCAGGTCACCCTGCTGGGCCTGTCCCAGGACCACCTTGACCCCAGCATGTTGTCCTCATCTATGTTGTAAATGTCCCTCAGAGCCACGGGCACCATGCTACTGGAAACCAGGGCAGGGAAGGCCATCCTCCAACCCGTGCCCCACCCCACCCCTGTTCAGACTCCTGTTTCCAGTCCTCCCTCCCTGAGCCTCAAGTTTCCTTGTCTGTAAAATGAACGGGTGGATCATAGGCTCTGGAAAGGTGCCTTCAGTTCTGACAAGCTGCAGACCTATGACTTGGAGCACGCTGAGCAGGGTGGACACTCCAGAGGGGCTTTGTGGAACTGTCAGGGCCCCCTCTCTGCTTCCGCCTCTCAGGGGCCCAGCCCAGGCCCCTCCTTCCCCAGAACTGCCAAACAGCACTTCTGATTTCCAACCCAGAGCAGCCCCAGACAGGCCGAGCTTGAGGAGGGGCTGGGAACCAGCAGCTCAGAGAGAGGTTGAGAGCGCATCCCAGTGCACACATGATCGATAGATCGATCGGGCAGGCTGCAAGGGCCACAGAAAAGGCCGGGCTCAGGAGCTGAACGGCCTGAATTTGAGTCCAGGCTCCAGCCCCTTCCAGCTGTGTGACCTGACCTTGCTGTACCTCAGTGTCCTCACCTATACAATGGGAACAACAACAGCACCCACTTCAAGGGATGGCTGTGAGGATGGCTGTGAAGATTATTGCCTGCCCTGTGCTGGATCCTCACAGGCCTGGGTGCACCTGCCACCTGCATTTCCCAGATGCAGCTGTCAGTGTTGCAGCAGAGCAGGGCATGTGGTCTACAGACCTGGGTTCAAACCTGGGCTTTGTCACATATTACAGTGACTTAATGTCTCTGCCCCAATTTCCCCAGCTGCACCTGTTAGGGTTGCTATACAGCTTAAAAGGAATTATGCATTGAAAGTTATGCCTTGTAAAGAGCAGGGCGTGCAATAAGGGCTCCGTACATGTTAGCTAGTATTATTGGTTCTCTTCCCCAGGATCCCTGCCCCCCAAAACCCTAGATCCCAAGCCCCAGAGGTCACACAGCTATTTCACAGAAAACCAGCCCTGGTTTCAAAGTCTCTTTCAATTCAAAGATCGCTAGTGGACTGTTCTTTCTGCTACTCCACCATGTGACCAGCAGGGAGAGGAGGAGCCTCATCCCTGGAGGTCACTCTGCCCCTTCCCCAGGGGGGGGGATCCAGACAGAAAGCACTCTCTAGCCCCTCACCCGGCACAGGCTGGTCATGCTTCTCCTTAAGCCCTGCAGCTCAGCCCTCAAGTTCGGGTGCTGGGAGGAGCTGCACTGCGGGGTGGGGCCTCTGGCACTGCCCTGGGGGAGCCAGGGGCAAGGCCTCCCTCCAAGTCTGTTCCTGGACACCCAGCCCTGGGCTGGCTGGAGACAGCGGGCTCCTCCCTTGTTCTTCTCGATTCTCTGGGCCTGGCAGCAGAAAGGAGGCCACGTAGCATTCATCTGGAAAGCCTGCAAATCCACAAACCAGGGAGGAAGGATGGATTATGGGAGAAGAGGGAAGAGAATGGGCTGAGCCCAGAAAGAAACCTTCCTGGGAGCCAGCTTCCTGCCCCCCCAGGTAGAGAGATGAGGCCTTTGCCATGGTACAAGGCCAAGTGGGAGGGTGGCTTGGTCTTAGACGCACAGTCATGCTCCCACCCGACCTCTGCGTCCTCCAGCTTCAGGCTGCACCTCGACAAGGGGCTGCTGACCCCCCACCACCAGGCCCACCGGCCTCAGCCTAGGAGAAGCCCTAGAGACCCCACCCAGGAAACGGATGGGTGCTCACACCCCCCAGGGCCCTCTCTCTCCACTGTGCACACCCTCCCCCTGCTCACCCGTCCCATCTGTCCTGCCTATGGGCCTTGAGTCTCCACCCATCCAGGCCTTGTCTGTGAAGGGCACCTCTCGGCTCCAGGGCACAGGGCTGGATGCTGAGCGTGCGGTGTGGCCCTGTGCAGTTTGCCCCCTTCCACCTGTATCCCTTGTTCAGTCCAGGTGACAACAGGCCCACATGGATCCCCAAGCAGCTTTAAAAAGGGGAGCAGAGAAATGATCATAAATAAATAAATAAAGGACACAGCAGGTGGGGGAGGTGAGTGGGGAGGGAGAAGAGGCCTCGTTGCCAGGCAATCAGGCCTGTTCCAGGACTTTCCAGGCTGTCTGCATATCAATGAGCATCCCATACTTAGCACCGGGTAGGGGCGCCCACCCACCACATTCCCTACAGGCTGCCAATCTCTGAGTGCTCAGCCTGGCTGTTCACCACCCAGCTGAGGCCCCAGGGCTGCAGAGAGAGCAGAGCGACCGCTGCCACCCTCACTGGACAACCCCATCCAGGGTGCACTCTGTCCCCAGCCGGAAGCAGCACCAGAGCAGTCAGTGTTCCGAGATGAGCTGGGCCTTACCCAGTCACTGGAGCAGGTGAGAAAGCTCCTTGAAACAGTTAGTGGAGAGAGGCCCATGGACACCCACAAACGGAAACAAGTACACACACACACACAAAACACACACATGCACACACACACAGGTGAGGGCTGGAACCCACCCTGGAGGCAGTGCCCTGGCTGGCTCATCCCTGGCACGTGATGCATGCACGCCATGCACACACCAGCTCCCCCTGGTCTGTATCTGCACACACATGGGCTGCGTCCTCATGGACCCCAAGCCACCAACACAGTCACATAGGGCAGCTTGAGCGATTTGGAGGCTGGGGTCTGACAGCACATTCGTGCCCACGAAGCTGGAGGGAGGCCTTGGAGGCCCCAGAAACTAGTGACCCACCATTAATAATCTACTTCCCTCCCAGAGCTGATTTGCATGCTAATGAAGGTTTCTGAAGCAGTGGATGGGGGCTCGGAGCCAAGTCCAGTGAAGGGAAGAGAGGGAAAGAGGGAGATGAGATTAAGCGAGGGGCACAGAGCTGGGGGAGGAGAACGGGGCTGGGACAAGAGTCAGCACATGGTAGAATGTTCCACCTGGATGGTACCTTCAGGCTGCAAAGTCCAAAGGCTTCATTTGCATATGAGAAAAGTGAACATTAGGGAAGACTTATAAAAGAAGAATGAATGGAAAGAAAAGAAAAGGAGAGATGAGAAGGTCAGGAAGGAATGAGGAAAGGAGAAAAACCGGGGTGCAGACTTGCCACCCTGGCGGCTTTCCACTGCGAGCTCGCCCCCACCACGACCCCCAGCCTCCGCAGCTCCATCCAGCCTCCCTCCCCACAATCACCCCATGACACGCCAGTGACCCAACCCTCCTCCCTGGGTAGGGGTACCCCAGCGGGGGCCAGCACGAGGGGCCGAGGGTGTCCCGTGGGAAGCGGTGCTGGGCGCTGCCCCCTCCCGGCTCTGCCCCTGTCTAATGAACACATCTCCCCTTTTCTCTAATTAGGTAGAACAAACAACTTGAACCAGAATTTTTATTTCCCAGAAAAGCACACGCCCAGACACAGTAAATATGTCATTAATCATCATTCCAAGGCAAGGCGCACGCTGGGTGCGGGGAGGAGGGAAGCAGGCAGAGCCTAATTAGGGCCCGGGCCTCCTGCTCACCCCCTCCCACCCGCACCGCACACCCACGTGGCCGCTCCCCTCCCGCGCCCCAAGCCCATCCCCTGGAGGGTTCCTGGCAGAAACGTCCCTTGTTAGCATAACGGAAAAGTGAAGAGAAAGGAGTGGGGAAGAACAGTACAGACCCCCCTCCTCCCCTCACCCTACCCTGAGGTCTTATGTTCATCCAGGAAATTTTCCTATCGTGGCCTGGCTATTCATAGCCGGCAAGGTCTGCTGCCTCAAGCCAACACCATCCTGCGGTGGGGCCGCAGCTCCCTCCCCTCTGGCTTTGGTTTGGGCAGGACTACACCCCACCCTCTTTTTGCTGGCCTCCCTGAAGCTCATCTGGAGACTCTTACCCTATTGGCTACTGGACCCCCCTTGGCCTGCTGGGACTAGCCACATCACTGTCCTCCAGCCCCTCCAGCCAAGGCCTCCACCCCTCTTCCTAGGAAAGAAATTTCTATGAGGCCTCAAGCCACTGGGGCCTGAGCTAGGCTCACCAGTTCCACTGGGTTTAGATGGGAGAAAGTCCAGGGCTACCGCCTGCTCTGTGGCTCTCTCTATAATTTCATAATCCGGCTTTGCCTAAAGCAGGATGTGCTGCTCCAAGTAGAGGCTTCAGGCCATGTTCTCCTGGTGCTGGAGCCACAACCTTTGCCCCACGTTCAGAAGGACCATGCTGAATGGAGGACCCAGACAGCAGGGTCCCAGCAGCCTACACGTTGCTGCTAACTAGTGCAGTGACCTTGGAGGCTATTAATTGCTCTAATCGTTCCCACCTGTAATGCCAAGACAATAATAACCGCCCTCCAGCATCTCTGGGAGCTGTGGCAGAGGGTCCTGGCTCAGGGGTCACCCATTCGTAAGTGCAAATCCCAGCTCTGCCCAGCAAGTTCCTGGCTCGCTTTGAATTTAGTTTTTTCTTTTGCTGTTAGAAGTAAGGCTCCCTCCCTTCCAGGGCCCTTGTGAGAATTAGAGACAATGTCATCTCTATTTTAGGGGAGGTTTTGAGGCAGTAGAGTCTGTTCATCCATTCCTTGGCTTCAATCAGAGCGAAACAAGACTGCATCCACATGCCTCCCTGGAGGGAGTTAAGTCCCTTTTCTGGATGGGATGTCTTTGAGTACTGAACAGCCTTCAGTCCAGCCTGGAAGTAGCACCCCCGCTGGCACACCCTCCCCCTCCCCCGTGTGCATCTACCTTAGTAGCCCCAAAGTGATGGGGGGAGGGAGAGGTAGCTGGAAAGGGGCACAGGGGAGGGAAGGGGGTAGCAGCAATAATGGGGGAATTAGCTTCAGAATGACATCATCATCCAGTAGAAAAAGCAATGACCTTGGAAGACAGGAGACCAGTGGCTTTAGGACTTGTGTTCATTTCTTAGGCTGCCATAACAAAGCACCACAACATGGTGCTAAAAATAACAGAAGTCCATTTTCTCACAGTTGTAGAGGCCAACGGTCTGCAGTCAAGGTACCAGCAGGGCCGTGCTCCCTCCAAAGTCTCCGTGGAAGAACCTCCCTTGTCCCATCCAGCTCCTGGAGTTCCGCAGCTTGTGGTTGTGCAGCCTCTGCCTCCATCTTCACGTGGCCGTCCCCTCTGTGTCTCTGTGTCTTCTCCTCTTCTTAAAAGGACTCTGGTCACTGGATTTAGGGTCCACTCTAAATCTAGGATGATCTCATCTTGAGATTCTTAACTAATTACTATTTAACTGATCTGCAAAGAGCCTATTTCCAAACAAGTTCATGTCCTAGGGCTCCGGGTGGATAGGAATTTGGGGGAGACTATTCAGCCTACTACAGGGCCCTCTTACTTGTCTCACCACCAATTTAAAGTGTGACTTTTGGCCTCTCTTGGTCTTAACTGTTTCCTCAACTGTCAAATGGAAGATAATGGCATCTGTTCTGCCTATGGCTTGGTTGAAGCTCTAATGAGATCAGGAAGTGAAATGATTTGCAAAGTGCAAAGGGTTTTTATAGGTAAGTAATCAAAAGCTCATTGTGCACCCCATCTGCCTGCAGCCCCACCACCCCTGCACTGACCCCCAGGCACCAACTGCACCCCCTTTTGCAGACTGTCGCTGCTCAGGGGCCACAAGCACCTGCCTGTTGCAAATGATCTGCTTGCTTCCTGCAGACCCAGAGACTCACCCAGACGCCAGAGGCAGAACAGATGTGAGTTCATTTCTACAAAGGACCTACCTGAAGCCTGGTTTCTTTTGTGCTTTTGGCTTGCAAGTCCAGGCTGATTTCACATATGATTCAAAACTTTCTAGTTCCTTTTTCCTTCCACAGCGCAACACTGAGCCAGGCCAGGAAACCAAGGGTCACCCCCCAGCTCCTCATGGAGACTGGCACTGCTGAGTCTCCCGAGCTGACCCCCTCTAGTCCAGGCTGATTTCACATATGATTCAAAACTTTCTAGTTCCTTTTTCCTTCCACAGCGCAGCACTGAGCCAGGCCAGGAAACCAAGGGTCACCCCCCAGCTCCTCATGGAGACTGGCACTGCTGAGTCTCCCGAGCTGACCCCCTCCATCCATGGTTCTCCTTTCTCCTCTCTAAGCTGGGGCCTGCCCTCCCCACACCCACCCAGGCCATGCCAGCTGAGTGAGATGGGCCTTCTATCCCTTCTCCCCACCCTCCTCCAGACCCTGCTTCGCGATGGCAAGCGCGAAAGCATCGTCAGCACACTCTTCATCTCCCCTGGAGACGTGGAGAATGGCCAGAGCATCGTGTGCCGTGCCACCAACAAAGCCATCCCTGGAGGGAAGGAGACCTCGGTCACCATCGACATCCAGCGTGAGTACTGACCAGCCCTGCCTGGCCTGGCCAGGCCCAGGATGGGAGCAACCCAGCAACCCTGCCCATAGCTCAAGCCATCTGAAAGCAGGTGAGGGGTCTGACAGCTCTGCATACGTATGGGCAGGAAGGACCTTCTTGTCTCTCTCTTATTGTCATATGAAGCAACCTCACAGATGAGGCTCTTCGGCAAAGGATGTCTTCAAGACATATTTTGCACCTGTACAAGGTGGAGCTTCTACACCAACGAATATGGCCAGCCGCTGGCCCTGCTGGCCTAGCAGTGGCCCCATGCTCTGTTGGAGAGGAATGACAACAGAGATGCTGGGAGCCGAAGGTGCTCAGGATGGGCAAGGAGCATGGTGCCCGGTGGAGGGCCTACCAGTCCCCTCTCAATGAAGGGTCAGTCAAGGGGAAGAGAGGAAGAAGAATAGATGTTCTGTCGACTCATACGCTGCAGGCATTATCTCGTTTAATCTTTACAAAAATGTTTGGAGGAGGTATGACTGTGGTCCCTATCTGGGGAAACTGAGGCACCAAATGATAGGTCAAGTTGCCCAAGGCCACAGAGATTTCAAACCCAAGCAGCCCGGCTCTCCAGAGCCCACCCAGATGCATTCCCATGTGGTCAGCCCTCAGTGGATGTCACTTGTTACCATTAGGATTAACAATAAGGATGCTTTAAAGCTCCAGCAGCATCGCATCCAAGAGCCACCTAAAGAAGACACCAAAGGTTTCCTAAAAGTCTCCCTAAAGTGGCCTGTTGGCCCCAGAGAACCAAGAAGAGCTCAATAAGGTGGTCCCTGTAGCCTAACTCTCAGGACTGGATTCATTTAGGTGTGAAGTATCAGCATTCAGAAGTGGACTTTTCTCCTCTCAGATCCCCTTCCCTGCATGGTGCCTCCACGTGCTGAAGACTGTCTGGTGGCAGGCTCTGAATTACAAGGCTGGAGCTGCAGGCTGGTGTTCATGTCCTCCTTAGCATTTTGCTCTTTTTAAAGCATATGCATTTAAAAACACTTCGTAACAGCCCAGGCTCATCTAAGGATTCTGGGCTCCACGTGGCTCTCTAGGGATCTGGAGTCCATAGACACTGTGTCTTAGGATTTCGAGAGCCCACCTTGGCTGCCAGGGAGCAGAAGTTCCCACTCGGGGTCTAGAATCCTCACAGATGCTGTTTAGATTCCAGAGGACAAAGGAAATGGTTATAAAGGAGAGATGATACCAGGGCTGCGCTCTTGAGAAACGCTTTGTCTTCACTATCTCGCCACGAGCTATTAACAAAACTCTCTGTTCCCCACCCCTCTACCCCCCACCCCACCCCCCATGACCCCAAGGATTCTTTTTCCATTCCTCAGTCAATGAGAGCAGCAGAGCTCTGGCCAAGCCTAGGACTGGGGAGATGGAGGGAGGTGCCTAGGGCACACGATTTAAGGAGGCACTCACTGTGAGCGTCCTGGAAATACAGGTGGGCCCTGAGAGGGAGGGCCTCCTTAAATCGTGCACCCTGGGCTCCTCCCTGCCCTGGTCTCAGCACCACTGCTTCTGCCCTGCCGAGCAGAGCAGCTGTGCTGCAGAGGAGGCAGCTCCACCATCAGCAGAGGGAGGGTCTAAGCTTGTCACTTCACCCCGGGGACTCTGGTTCCTTGCGTGATTTGACCAAATGATGTCCCAGGTCTCTTCTTGCTCTAGGACTGACTGTGGATCTCTCCAGACACAAACCAAATCTGGGAGGTGGGAGGGTAGGAGACACACAGCATCCAAGCCCCCTACTTTCAGGCTGCCTTTCTTGGCCACTGTGAGGCCCCTGCCCTCCATCCCTCCCCTGTCCCCAACCTAGTCAGGAGGCCTATGCCAGCTACAGAATCCTGCACAAAAGACACAACAGAGTTGGCTCCCCGCAGCCTGGGCCTGGCAGGGAGAGATGTACAGAAGCAGTGATTCTGCTCCAGGCCATCGTCCATCACCCCAGGAGAGCCTCTCCTGGCAACCAGAAAGTCATCACTGTAACAGGCCACCCGGCTATTCAGAGATGCTCCAATAAGAGGATCGATTTACTAGGACGCACAGATGACAGGACGCCAAGCCTTGCCAGGTCTCTGGGTCCCTTCTGGCTTTCTTTCCAAGGACGTCTCAGCCACGTTAGGAGGGAGGCCACAGTGACGTTTCCTAGATCGGCTCCATCCAAGGCAGTGTAGGGTAGTGGTTAAGGCCACAGCATTCTTCCTGGTTAAAATTCTGGTTCTGCCACTTACTGAGTGACACTGACCTGGTTAAGTTAACCTCCTTGTGCCTCGGTTTCCCTATCGGTACATGGAGGTAATATTGCTTACCTCCAACGGATTAAATTAAATCATTCGTGTCAAGCCCCTCACTCAGTGCCTGACATGTTGTAAGCATGCTACACCTGTCAGCTGTTGATAGGATAAATAGCCACAGGTGTGCAGTGACCCCTCCTCAGGTGTCCCCCCCAGCCCTAACAGGGGAGAAGTCTTCATCCATTTGTCCTTGCACCACGTCCCCCCAGCCTGAAAGTGTTTCCATGTGCCTGCCCAGCAAACACGTGCACTGTCTCCACCCCTCTCTTCCTCCTCCTTTCCCCTCCCCCCACCTAACAGGGGAGAAGTCTTCATCCATTTGTCCTTGCACCACGTCCCCCCAGCCTGAAAGTGGTTCCATGTGCCTGCCCAGCAAACACGTGCACTGTCTCCACCCCTCTCTTCCTCCTCCTTTCCCCTCCCCCCGTGCATTCATGTGTCCCTTCAGTAAGCGTCCAGCTGCTTACTGTGGACACCACGGGCTAGATCGGAGCTGCCTTTGCAAACCTGCTCATTTTCTCAGTCAACTGAGAAGCATCCTAACTCAGCAAAAGCACATTTGTTGTTTGTTTCTCTTGGTCTTTATATGTTACCCAACGGAAGACAAAGCCCCCAGATTGAGTAATGGGAGAGAACGCTTAACACCCGCAAAGCCTTGCCACATCTGGACAGTGTGTCCAGCTGCCAAGTTTCAAATGGATGTACTATAAAATCACCGAGTCATGAAGTTTCTCTTTTCCCACCCCGTCCTCGATGTAATACTCCCCCCGAAAACACGCACACTCACACACATGCAGGTTGCGGATGGAAACAGCAACAGACTCTCAGCTGTAACATCTGTTCGATGTGATCTCGGTTCCACCAGCTACATCAAAGCTGCCCTCCTGCAAGTTATGCAGCCGACATCACAAGTGGGATTAAAATCATGTTTAATAGTAGGATATGAACATAAACTATTTATGCCTCTGGAGCTTGGCAGACTCCTGAAAATTCTTACCTGCACATCCAGAGGAGAGGGGTGGAGACAGGGACCCGGACACATCTGGGGCGGGGGTGGAGGTGCAGATGAGTGTGGAAGCATCGTGAGGTCCTTCAGGACAGGTGGGCACCGAGGATGGTGCCCAGAGGGAGGGGAGGTGCAGTAGAGAGGCCTCCATGGGGTGAATGGATAATGCAGGTCTGTGACAGAGCACCAGGCAGCAAGGGTCCTCCAACAGGTGTGTGCCCGTCTCCCTGCTTCCCACAGTCTCATCACTTTACAAGTACACCCAGGTGAGGGATGGGCCTCCTGGAACAACCCCTGAGTTCTGTGGCAGGTCTCTAGATTCTGTGGAGCTGACACCCTCGTCTCCTCAAATGAGCATTGGATCAAGGAACTCCACCTCCTGGTAGGGGACTGCCATAGGTGAGGGCATGGGCTAGCCACATATTTGCATCCAGATGGCGATTACCAAGCTCCTATGCCCCAGGACATGCTTCTCCAGCCCACAGCGAGATGCCAGCTCCTCCATGGGTCTCCATGCTCTCCAGGAAGGGTCCCAATGATGCCCAACTTAGCCAGCCAGCCCTGAGTGGAATAAGGGCTGGACTCCTGATTCAGCCTTGCCCTGGGGGCTGGTGGGCAGCACTGGGGAGAGGCAGGAGCATCCTGGGGGTCGTGGCTCTCCTGAGAGGTGGAAGGAGAGCTCTCATGGCTGTTCTTCACCACACTCATCCTTGTGATCACTTGAATTTGCTTTACAAACCGAGACTGAGAGGTTGAAATGCCCATCACTTCTCTTGTAATTATCCACGAAAAGGCCAGCAAGAGGCTGCTCCAGTAGCAGATGCTTTCTGGATTTGTGGTCCCCTGTCTGGAACTTGGGTTATTGTGGGGAAAACAGGCTCCCCAACACAGTCGGCCGCCTGCTACTCAGAAAACAGGCCACCCCCCTCCAGTGCAGCCCATGTGCCCCAGCACTGGGCAGTGAGACCTGGCCCAGCAGGGGCACCAGCAGCAGAGGAGGGCCAAGCAGCCACATGACCCCCACTCCGGGTGGGGCAGTCTGGGTCCACAGCTGGGAGGCCATGTGTGTGACTCTGAGGGTCTCAAGAGCCCAGACCCAGCAGGATGGAGTCTCTCTCCCCTTGTGGTGTCTCTCATGGGGACCCAGAGTGATCAGCCCTTTTTCTGATGGCCTCTGGGAAACTAGATTATTTTTTTCTGAAAACAGGCTGAACCCCTAGAGAGGCCACATGACCTTCCAGCGATGTGCTCAGCTTGTTGGTGGGACTGGCCCAGAAGATGCAGCCCAGGGCCCGGGCTAGGCCTTGGGGACGAAGTTGCCCTCTTAACTCAGCCTGGAGTTAACTCCAGATCCCTAAGCCATGACAAGGAAGGAGGATGGACATATCCCCTTCCCTGGAGTGTGGACGCCTGGGGGGTACCCAGGAACAGGGGTGAGACCCAGCCTTTGGAGAAGGTCCAGAGCTGGCCACCCTGAGCTCAGCAGGGCCAAGCAGTGGGAGGCCACCCCTGGGCTGACCTCGGCGCCCTGTCTCTCTGCTGCAGACCCCGTGAGCTTTATTTCCATCCTTACATCTCTCAGTCTCTGTTCCTCCCTATCTCTCTTCTCTATTCCTCATTATTTTATTCAGTCTTCCTCCCTGACACCCTGTCATTTTCTGTCTTCATGTACTGGGTCTTACTTGGTCTTTCCTGCTTTCAGTCTGAAATCTTCAATTATGTGTGTCTGCATATATGTCAGTCTCTCTCCGTCTCTCTGCTCTCTGCTTTTCTAGGTTTCTATCTCTTTTTCTTACTCTTCCTCTGCATTTTGCAATCTGTGTGTGTGCCTTTCTGTCTCTCTGCCTCTGTCTCTCTCTGCCTTTGTCTCTCTCTCTCTGTCTCTCTGCCTCTCTCTCTGTCTCTGTCTCTGTCTCTGTCTCTGTCTCTCTCTCTCTGTCTCTCTCTCTCTCTCATCTGTCTCTGTCTTCTGTGGTCTCCATGTCTCTCCTCTGTGTACATGTCTCTACCTGCCTCCGATCCCTTCTGCACAGATCTCTCCGTGTCTCTAAGTCTCCGGCTCCTGTCCCTATCTCTCTCCCTCTCTCTGACTTTCTGTCTCCTCTACCTCCCACCATCTAGCACTTCTGAGCTTGGCTTCTTATCATGACAAATGAGAAAACGAGCCCCAGCCTGGGGAGCTGAGGCCCATGTGACACCAGTCAGGACTGAGTGGAGATGCTTAGGCTGATGAAAGGGTGTAAATGCCACTTTCAAGTTAACAGATGCCCCAGAACCTTTACACAGAGAGATAATAAACAGACATTTTGAAGACAGAAAGTCCGTGTGGAAATGGGGTTGGGTGTCCACACTCCCCCAAACCCCTGCACCCCTCCCCACCTCTCTTCTCTGCCTCAAAGCTGGAAGACACAGATGCCCCAGAACCTTTACACAGAGAGATAATAAACAGACATTTTGAAGACAGAAAGTCCATGTGGAAATGGGGTTGGGTGTCCACACTCCCCCAAACACCTGCACCCCTCCCCACCTCTCTTCTCTGCCTCAAAGCTGGAAGACGCTCCCAGGGCCCAGATGGCTGCTCCCTAGTGTTCATTTCAACAGCAGGTCTTGAATCCACAGAGGGCCCTGACCCCACCTCCAAGACTGCCTGAAGCAGGCACCTCCTGGGAGTGGAGCAGCCTCCTGCTGAGTCCCCCAAGTTTCTGGTAACCCCCAGGGTGGTGGCTGCTCTGAGGGTCCCTGGGTGGTGGAATCTCTGGCCTTTACCCTCCCTCTCACTGGGGGTCTTCCTGACCCATTCTTTCCCCGGTCTTCAAGTGAATCTCTTCTCTCTGCAGATCCCCCGCTTGTCAACCTGTCTGTGGAACCACAGCCAGTGCTGGAGGACAATGTCGTAACATTCCACTGCTCTGCAAAGGCCAACCCAGCTGTCACCCAGTACAGGTGGGAGTCACCACTGCAGAGGCGTGGCCTGGCCACCAACCCCTCCACCCCATGCCTATCCACAGGATGTCCCTTGTGCTCCTGGTCCTCGGCACAGCCACGTGCGAGTTTCACAAAGGGTGTCTGATAGCCTGTTCCCTTCCCACCACACCCACCCTCCCGCCGGCCAGGTAGACTCTTTCTTCCCTTTCCACACATGTACCACACTCCTCCATAGGAGACAGCACCAGCCCCCGCTTCTGTTTGAACAGCTTGTTTATCCCATATTTCTGAAAAGAGGGAGGGAGACTCAGAAACAGTTAAAACATCCAGGAGAATCAGGAAGATCAGAACCTGGATTCTGGTCCTGTGCTGGTCCAACTATTCAGCCGGGTAGGGAAGGATTTCTGGGACAGCTGGTCCTGTCCAGTGGGCTCCTGGGATCGGACACACCGGGCCCCTGTGTGTCGCTGGCTCACACACTGATCAAAGCATCACCGCTTTTCACATGCTTGTCTCTGCCTTTTGACGGAGCTTCTCGAAGGCGATGACCGCAGTTCAGTCACTAGAGCTTGCAGCATGTAGCACAGCGTGCAGCACACGAGGCCCTCCTCCAATGTGCCTGGCTGATGGGACAAACGCACGCCGCGCTTCTCTGGGCGCCTTCCTGACTGCGCTCGTCTTGCTCGAGATTCCGAGAGCCTGAGTGACCTTGGAGGTGCACAAGGGCACTCATTCATGCGCCTCCTTTTAGATGCTGTGTGGACCCCGCCCTGGCTCTCACTCTGCCCCGCCCCTTCCCACCAGCCAGACCCAACGGTGGAGCCAGGCGTCACCACCGCCATCGATCCGGGTTATTAAGCTGCAGCACCTGCAAGGGCTGAGGATGCTAATGGTCCCAGACTAGGAAATAAGCCAGGGGGAGTGGAGAACAGGGAAGACGAGACACAGCCCCAGCAGCTCAGCCCCAGCCGGCAGGAAAAAAGGAAATGGGCCAAAGAGACAGCCGTAGGTTCAAGCTGGATGCGAGGAGGTGCCCCCTGCCGTGTGGATAATTAAGCAGCGCTGGAGCCAGAAACCCAGAACGGGGGTAGAGTCTATCCCTAAGGATATTTTAAAATAGGATAAAAACCCATCTGTCCTGTCCGATTTAACTGTTCTCCAGACTAGAGGCAGAGGAAAGATCAGATGACCTCCAGGGTCCCACCTGAGCCAAGAACTTCAGGCTCTCTGGGATCATGTGGCTTAGTCAGGTCCAGGGGGCAAGTCTGCTTTGGCAGGGGTCTGGCATCTGTCCAGAAGTGACTAAAGACACAAAAGAAAAACCCGACAAGAGTCCCTTGCTCTGGGCTTCCACTTGCCCTCCCTACCAGGCTTCTCTGTACAAGTTGGGCTTCTTTCTGTCTGCTCCTGGCTCTCTGCTCCTGGTCCCTAAACACGAGGTACAACGTGCCCAGAAAACACTCATGCCAATTTCCCAGGACAGCCCTACACACCCATGGACCACCTGGGGAAACACCCCCAGAGCTACCAACCTCCGCCCACAGGCCTGACTCCCCCACCTACACCTGCCTTCTAAGCAGGACAGTTTGAGCAAACACCCAGGAGACCAGGCTTCTGGGCCTGATGCCCAGGGTCGCTGACCTCAAAGAGAGCAGTGTGACAAGAAAAAGAAGATGTCAATCTGCACAGAGAGAGGTCGTCCTAGAGCACATGTGGCAAAATGCTAATAACTGGTGAATCTAGGTGAGGGGGAGTCGGCAGGTGATGGGACTGTTCTTGCAACTTTTCTATTATTTTAAAGTTTGAGGGTTTTTATCAAACTAAAAGGTTAATAAGTAAACAAGCAGGGAGCATGCAGGTTTCCCTAGGCTACAGGCATCCTGTGGCTTTCCCTCCCTCTTCATCCTACCCTGGAGCCCCTCATGTTCAGAGAAGGAGCCGTGAGGGCCAGAAGGGCAGGGCTCCCTGCAGACACTCACTGTTCTTACCCACCACCTTCACTGGTGGCCTTCTGATGAGCCGAAGGCCCTGAAAATGCTGCAGTGCATGATTGGCCTCCCTCCAGAGGCTTTCAGGGAGCCCTTCTGGCCCCAGTTGAGTGCGGGAGAGCCTGGGTGGCCTGGGAAGGAAGGCGCTGGAGGGGCCATGGAGAGAGGAGGTGGTGACACCTGGGCCCACCTACACCCGCTCAGCTCCTTCTTGCCTGTGAGGTCTCACCAAGCAGCCAGATGCCCATTCTATAGTGTTGGGATCCAAGAGGAAACACCGTAAGCAAATTTCATCACATAAGCACGTGCATTTTTCCCAACTGACTGCAAGATTATAGGGATCTTCATTTTTTACTTCCATTTGTCTTGATTCCTTCCTCTCTATTCCACCCAAGAGGCTTGTTTTAGTCCATTTTCTGCTGCTATAACAGGATACCACAGACTGGGTAATTTATAAAGAAAAAAGATTTATTTGGCTCATGGTTCTGGAGGCTGGGATGTCCAAGAGCGTGGCGCTGGCATCTGGTGTGGGTCAGCTCATGGCAGAAGGCAGAAGCAAGCCCATGAGACAGAGAACTTATCCTTTTATCAGGAGCCCACTCCCACGATAACTGACCCACTCCCAAAATAACAGCACTGATTGCTAATGAGGGGGGAGCCCTCTGACCTCACCACCTCTCAACCTCTTCATATTATAACAATGGCAATTAAGTTTCCAACATATGAGCTTTTGGGGGACATATTCCAACCATAGCAGGTGTACTCTCTGAAATTAGAGATGTGCCCTTCTCCACCCCAGCATGCAAAAAGGGGGCACAGGTGGGCACTGGAGCTGTCACCTCAGCTGCCCCCAGGGATGGGGAGCCCGGGGCCAGCACGACAGGCCTGAGCACAGCATGAAGTGCTCTGGGATCTTTCTTCTGAGGGTCTCGCCACACCCCCCAGCAGACAACAGAATGGGGGCCACTGCCCCAGATGAAACGCGGGGCTATTTGAGGACAACCTGCCGGCTGTGGCAGGCCAGGCCTCCTGATTCTGTGATAGAAATAATTAATCCTCTTACATTTGTTCAGACCAAATTAGACATTGATTGGGAAAGGCTTAAGCTGACTCCATTTTCAGAGGGGCTGGGAGAGACAGCCAACGCAATAGTGAAGCAGGGGTGGCTGGGGAGTGGGAGTGTAGGGGGTGAAGAGGAGAAACAGGAGGTAAAGCAAAGCCAAAACTTGGGAGGAGAAGAGGAAAGGGAAGAGAGAGGGGCAGGAGCTTCTCTTTGGTTCTGGCCTCCCTCCTGTGGCCAGCTGCTTGCATAATGCGGTGGTTTGGGCCTCTGCACTTCTGGAAGGGACCCATCAAAGGGTTATGGGTGTGGGAAGGGAACAAAGGAGGGGGACACAAAGACTGGCTGAGTGAGATGCAAGCAGGGGACTCTCAGGGGGCCCAAAGGCACCTCCCCAAAAGGCCCTGGCCTTGGGCACTTAAGGACCCAGCCCCATAGCCGGATCCTGCCCGTGACCCTGGGAGGGGATAATCTGAGAATCCCTCCTCTGGGGCTGGCTGCGCAGAGGGCCTGTTCACATGGCGCAGCTCTGCTGGGCAAGAAAACATCCTCTCTCACAGCCGGCCACGTCCTCTTGTCTCTTCCTTCCAGCTCCCTCAGGGTGAGAGGAGACGCCAGCCTGGTCTGGGACAAGGAGACCCCTGGTTCCTCTAGGGTTGTTCCAGGACCACAGGAGCCCCAGTGGTTCTCTTGAAAACTCAGGGCCAGGCAGGCAGGGCTTCTGCCCTCCTTGGCTTTCATGGTGAGGAGCCCTGGACAGAGAGGGGAAGAGCCCTAACTTCTCCAGAAATCCCTGGGAAAAAAACACACTGTGCCTGCCCATCAGAGCCAGCTCCCCTGGGCCCAGCCCACCCCTGACCCCTGCCCTCCTCCCAGCCCAGCAGCCCCCCAGGCCTCCCCCTGTGTCCAATCGCTTGACCCCCTCACTTCAGCAGGGTGGAAGGAATCAGGGCAGGACACAGCGCTCCAGTTGTGTGCCTGGAACTGAATTCATCCGCCTCAGGCAGGGGCTGTGCTTGACTATTAAGTCTGGTCATTGAATTAAAGTTAGAAATTGAAATGACTCATGAATAACTCATAATGCTTTGTTGAAAAGCTCCTTAAGCTCTCAGGGAACTATGGTTTGCTCTGTTGGTAACTGTAATTGTTATTATTAATCGTACTCTTAATAATCACCCGATATTAATTCGTGATAACAACAGCATGGTGCCAGCCTACATGTTACATGTGAAATGAAGAAGTGGACGGGCCAGCCCAAGCCAGGCAGGCAGAGGGAAGGGCGGAGACCAGGGCCAAGAGGAAGGGAAGTGACAGGGCAGCAGAGAGGCTGAGCTCGCAGGGAGCGGGGATGCAGGTGGCACCACTACAGGCAAGGCCCCCTCCAGCTCTGGAAATAGGTTTGAACTTCTAGCCTGGCTAGAAGTTTCCCGATTTCAAAAAGTCAGTGCTGTCCCCATTGGATTAAACCAGGGGAAGCTGAGAACTGTCTCCTTGGGGATCTGTAAGGAAAGCCCCCACCTTCACATGCACATGCATGCACACGCTCACAGCTGTGCACACACACACACACACACACACACACACACCCCTGTGGGGCTCCAGTGCTGCCCGCACACAGCAGGCTGCCCGGTTACTCGCCCAATGCAGTGATCACCGCCCCAGGGCCAGGACCAAGGCCAAGGCCGAGGCTGTTCAGCCTCCCCTTTGATATGGTACTGATCGGCCAATGAAAGAACCTTCCTACCCGCCTCCCCCCACCAAACCAGAGCTGCTGGAGGAGCAAACCAAGGAGTGGGGGAGGAGGAGGGGGGCGGGCCGAGGCTGGGCAGGAATGAGAGAAAGTGCCCTCCCCAAGAGGGAGGCTGCAAGCACTTTCAGGGAGAGAACAGGCACCCCGTGAGACCCACCCTGGGGGCAGGAGTCAGGACAGAGCTGAGAGCCCTGAGAGCACTGAGAGCTGGCTGAGGAAGAGGGGAGGGCAGTCAGTCAGTCATCAGTCGCTTGCTAACACCTCTCCTACAGGTTCTCACCTTGTCTGGAAACCCAGCTTCTTGGAGCCTCATTTCTCTGTGTGTATGTGTGTGTGCACACACACGTCTGTGTACGTATGCACATGTGCGTATGCACAGGTGCCATTAGGCCTTGGTCTCTGATGTCATGGGTTCGACCTCCTTTTCCAACATGGTCCAGAACAGGGCCTACAATAGAGCTCAGACCAGGATGGTGACCTACAGTTGGGTTATCCCGTGTCTAGCCAGCCAAATGGGCTGACCAACTGAATAATCAACTCACCTTTCTCTAGAATAACCCACTTGTCAAGTGCCGCTGACTGCCTGGTGACCACACACCAAAGCCCATCACCTCCATGACTGCCTGGGTGGGAGCAATTCCAACCCCTCCTCAAGTCCTTGAAATAACACCTCCATGGACATTCCCCAAGACCTGAAAGACGACATGACCCTGCCTCCCCACACAGGCCTTGTTTTCCTGTGGGATGGATGGGTTCAGTTCCCAAAGGGACAGCCTTGCCATCTGAGGTCCATACCAGCCCTCTGGGCCTCTGTTGCAGGTGGGCCAAGCGGGGCCAGATCATCAAGGAGGCATCGGGAGAAGTGTATAGGACCACTGTGGACTACACGTATTTCTCAGAGCCTGTCTCCTGCGAGGTGACCAATGCTTTGGGCAGCACCAACCTCAGCCGAACAGTCGATGTCTATTGTAAGTGCAATGATTTGGGAGCTTCCCGATGGGAGCAAGCACTGGGTGGTCTCTGCTTAGGGCTGGAGAAACTGTGGCTGGATTCATTGCACACAACATAACCTTCATGCTAAACAAGGATATAATGCTTTGCACTTTACATAAAGCTTCCTCGTGGATATTTCACGTTATTTTGATCCTCATCATGAGCCAGTGAGGCAGTGTTGTAGTTCAGACTGCTGTAACAAATTGCCGTAGATGAAGTGGCTTGAACAACAGAAGTCAGAATGTCAGCATAGTTGGTAATGGTGAGGGCTCTCCTTCCGGCTTGCGAACAGCCACCTTCTTGCTTATCCTTATGTGGCAGAGAGAGAAAGGAAGCAAGATCTCTCCTGTCTCTTTATAAGGGCACTAATCCCATCATGAGGGCTCCACCCTTATGACCTAGTCACCTCCCAAAGGCTCCACCTCCTAATACCATCCCGTTGAGGGTAGGATTTCAACATATGAAGTGAGGGTGGAGGGGAGGCACAAACACTCAATCCATACTAGGTAGGTATGATTATTCCCATTATCTGGATGGGGAGATGGAAGCCCAAAGACACGCAGTGAATAAGTGGCAGAATGAGAACTGAGACCAGGCAACGATCCAGCTCACAGCCCACACACACACTCCACTGCCTCCCACTGAGGGGACTCACAGACGGGACCCCTTCCTCACTGGTGGCCTGGCAGGGACCCACAGTGAGGCAACCCATTGCTATGGACTAGCTAGCTAGACTTGTTCAAAATAATAATCATTAGCTCATGTACCGCCCTTTACAGTCTTAAAAGAGTTTTTATAAACTTTTTTATCATTTGACCCTCCCCCTCACCCCCAACAGCCTCAACAGGAGGTGCTGTTACTGTTTTTACATCAAGGGACTAATCCCAGTCTGCTGACCCGAGATTTCAGGCTCTGTCTGCTCCCCGAAAGGAGCACTGCCAGGCCTACCTGGCCACAGCCCTCTGCATGCCCACAGGCCACTCTGTGGACCAGGACCTGGTCCATGGGCCAATGTTGGGCCAATGTGTTGGGGGAAGGTGGAGATGAGCCTCCATTAATGCCTGTAGCAGAGGTATGGGAAATGGATGAGGCCGGTCTACTTCCGTGGGGTCAGGAAGGAGGCTGAGGGCTGCTGGACTAAGAGGCCGACCTGAGAGAACCAGGTTGAAAACACTGAGAGAAGAGGCCTAGGTAGCAATGGCCCCACCTCCTTCACTCTTCATCTCAGATCCCCCTGGAGAGGGCTCCTGGGAGGGCTCAGGGGTTAAGGTGGCAGATGTACCCCACTGCCTCTTCCTCCTGTCGGGGTGGGTTCCCAGAGCTCCACACTCACCTGAACCCTGTCTCCCCCTTCCTTCCCATCACAGTTGGGCCCCGGATGACCACGGAGCCCCAGTCTCTGCTCGTGGATCTGGGCTCTGACGCTGTCTTCAGCTGCTCCTGGACCGGCAACCCATCCCTGACCATCGTCTGGATGAAGCGGGGCTCCGGTGTGGTGAGTCTGCAGCTCTGACCCTGGGGTCCTCCGACTGGGCGTGGGGGGCAGCAGAGCAAGACGGAACCACCTTCTAGGGCCCCTCTCCCTGTTAGATTGGGGGAGTCAGCCTCCAGGGTGAGCCAAAGGGAAAAGAATCCAGAAAGGAGAGGAACCCTGGTTCCCACATTGACCATCTCACCCTGGACACATTCAGTCCTTGCAGTTTCATGAACCTGACTAGAAGAGCAGGTGTCACCAGTGCACTGGGAGTGAAAGTCACCAGAAAGGTGTGGGGGTACCCTTTAGCCTTGGAGTTATGCACTTTTTGTAAAATGTATGTATCCTGTAGTGCACATGAGAGTTTGTCAGCTGTCCTTCCCGTGAGGAGGAACAGTGAGGGCCATGGGTAAGGAAGTGGGGGAGACGGAAGGACGCTGACCTCTGTGAGGCCTGTTATGTGGCAGACACTGCACTGTGCTATGGGATGCCGTCACCCCCACTATATGGATAAGGGAGCTGAGAGGATAAGGCACTGACCGAAGCCAGCAGGCATTCTCTGCGGGAGCCAGGATTCAGACTCACATCTAACTACTGCCAGAGTCTGTTTTCTTTTCATCACCCCAAGATGTCTCCCAAAGGGACACTGAAAATTACTCAGAAAACACAGGTCCAGGGGCCCTCAAAGAAGTTCAGCTGTAGGATAATTTCGCCCAGGGCCAGCCTGGGAGAGGAGAAGCCACCACAGGTACAGTGAGGTCAGCATCCCCTCCCCGTAGGAGGAAGCCTGGGGGTCCCCAGCCAGGGGGTCTCTCTCCTCCTGACACACACACCCCTCCCCATGCATCCACCCATGGGCTACACCTGGGATGGGCATCTTTGGCTTCCCAGGGTGTCCTTTGTGCTAGTGGAGTCTCCTCCACCCACGCACAGGGCACTGCTTGTGTCGTGAAACTCTGCCTCTTACCACCTGCCTTGGTTTTTACTGGGGTGCTGGACGCTGTGTTAGTTACCACCAGGCTCAAGTGGAGTCTCCTCCACCCACGCACAGGGCACTGCTTGTGTCGTGAAACTCTGCCTCTTACCGCCTGCCTTGGTTTTTACTGGGGTGCTGGACGCTGTGTTAGTTACCACCAGGCTCGCCTCTTAGCCATCTGGTTCCGAGAGACAGAAAGAGCCCTCCCCTACTCTTTGTGTCTGACCCTCCCCAATTCTCCCAGGTTCTGAGCAATGAAAAGACCCTCACCCTCAAATCCGTCCGCCAGGAGGATGCTGGAAAGTACGTGTGCAGGGCTGTGGTGCCTCGGGTAGGAGCCGGAGAGCGAGAGGTGACCCTGACTGTCAACGGTAAGACCCCCACTGCAGCAGACAGGAGAAGGATCCAAGGTATCATGGTACCAGGCACTGCCCCAAAGGTCACTGGTTCTGGCCTTGTTACCACCTCCAGCTGTGGGTGAATTATGTCCACCTCTTGTAGTTCCTGTCTGGAGGTGGAGAAGGGCCTGGGTAGTTTTCTGGTCACTCCTTCTTTGCTACCTTTTAGGGGGTCTCATCCCTAAAAGTGAGAGCTGGTGAATTTTATCCTAGCCAGGAAAAACATGTCAGAAGGCACCAGTGGCCACCATAGATCCCATATGTACCCTTTGATACGCCCACCATGACCTTGGTCCATGAGGAATTAAGGGGGCATCTCTGCAGCTCCTGGTCAGCCTCTTCCCATTGCATTAGAGCTGCTCAACCAGGGACGCCTGTGACCACTTCCATGAAACCAAGCATGCAGGTGTCCCCTTGAGGGGAGGGAACATGTCTTATAATTATATAATAAAAATCATCACAGGGCCGGCCCGGTGGCGCACTGCTACAGTGCGCCGCTTGGGAAGTGCGGCGGCGCTCCCGCCAAGGGTTCGGATCCCACATACAGACTGGTTCCCGCTCACTGGCTGAGCGAGGTGCGGGAGCAACACCAAGGGTTGCGATCCCGTTGCCGGTCCCAGTCCGGTACGGGCGCGACACTGAGGGTTGCGATCCGTTGCCAGTCACGAAAAAAGACAAAAAGACAAAAAAAAAAGGAAAAATCATCACAGCAGGAGGCTGTTTTCCTAGTGGGAGTTCATAGATGGCTGTAAGGTGAAACATTTAGAGGCAGGAACACCAGGCTAGGCCTGGATGGTGCGATGTAGATGGTCATGGAGAAGCTGAAACACAGCTCAGGCCAGACCCAAGAAGGCTATGATACCAGGATGGAAATTCTGATGTCCTTGCTGTCATATGAGCTTGAGCCATGATTGGAAACCAAAGCTGCAGATTTGAGAGAGTAAGAGATGCTAATGCCACATGCCTCTGCCAATTCCAGAGGTTTTACCCCCCACCTATGTCATGCCCATGGCCCTTTGGGAGCCCCTTGCTCCCACCATAGTCTGCCCCGAGGCTTTGAGCCCCTGAAGAAACCAAGCAACAAACCCACATTTTTTTTTTTTTTTTTTTTAAAAGATGACCGGTAAGGGGATCTTAACCCTTGACTTGGTGTTGTCAGCACCACGCCCAGCCAGTGAGCGAACCGGCCATCCCTATATGGGATCTGAACCCGGGGCCTTGGTGTTATCAGAACCGCACTCTCCCGAGAGAGCCACCGGGCCGGCCCAACAAACCCACATTTGTAGGGCCTCTGGGTCCTGGCCCCAGAGCAGGGCCCTAGGGAGGGGCTGGCCCAGTTCTCAAAATTAGCCCGGTTGGCTTCATCTTTACCCAGGAAGCCACCCATTGACAGCCTCATCTGTTCTCCCCTTGCTAGAAACCTAAAACCAGCTTGGTGCCTCCTCAGCTATCCCCCCTGCTGTCCCCATTAGCCAGCTCCTCCCCCCCCACCTACCACCATTCCTCTCCCCCTCCCCCAGAGTTGTGGCAGCCCCAGAGGGAGGGCGAATCTACCCAGACCCCAGAGCATTCACAGGCCACCTGTCCTGGGCAGAACCCTGAAGCAGGAGCCCTCCTGCCTTTCCTGTGTGTCCCCAGGATGCCACCAATAAATTGGCACTGCAGGGCTAAAAATAACAGCATCTGATCGCGCCTCCGTATATCCATGGCAACATGGGCTGCAGCCTTTCCCTTTCCACGCTGGGGTCTGACACTCGGCTCAGTGCACCAGTCCCAGTGAAATCAACGGCTCTCCCGCTGCCCACTCTGGGGAGGGCACTGGGGAGTTGGGCTGCTCGTGCCTGAGGCCAGCTCCCGTCTGCTGGCCCCATGACCACATGTGCCCTCCAGGGTCCCCAAGCCTGAAGCAATCAAACGAGTATCTTTGTCGCTTGGGAAAAGGGGGTGGATGAATACAGGAAGCACTGAGATTCTGCTGTCACTTCACACATTTGGGTATCTCCCAACAAAGATTTGAAGAGGTTTCTCAGGAGAGAACTCCCACCCATCCCCTGGGGACCACATGCCTTGGCAGGACATTTCTCTTGGACTTGAGCCCTGAGCCTGAGCCTGAGCCCTGGCATCCCCCCTAGGTTTGGTCTGTGCTCTCCAGGATCCGGCTTTCCACCCCTTCCCCTGCCTCCACCCCTTCCGGCACAAGCTCCCCTAGGTGTTGGCCTGAGAAAAGCTGGAGGGGCTGGACGGAAACGGAAGCTGCTGTTTACTTCTGCTGGCCAGGCTCGCCTCGCCCTGAGGCAGGGCATGCATTAAAAGACCCAGGGGGAGAAGCCTGCCAGACCCAGCCGGGGCGAGTAAAGCCCCAAGGACAGGGGCCTGGGCTGAAGGGATCTGACCTTATGAAAGCTCCAGAATAAGACCAGGTCCCCATCACAGCACACCCCAGACAACTACTGGCCAGTGCCCTTGGAGGAATAAACTGGCACACATCTCAACCGATTTGGCTCAAACGAGGTATCTGCAGGAAGGGGGAGATAAATCAGACTCCCAATGATTGACTCCCCAGACCTATTTTCCTTCATCCTGGTTTTTGTTTTCTTTTCAGAAGCCCATAAAGGCATATGCATTTTGCTGATGGCTATTAGAATCCTGAGAACCCCTCAGGGAGTTCCTAGTTCCTGAGGAAGAAGGGAAAGGTTTTATGGTATCATCACTCTTTAGTCTAGCCGCAAAACAAAGCACCATCCAGGTTCCTAAAACATCAAGCCCTCATCTCTTTTGCTCAAAAGCTTCTTGGACCTCAGGGATTTAATGGAGGAAGATGGGGCTTAGCCCACTCTTAAGCCATTGGAGGGTGGAAGCCCTTACCTGGAGGGTCCCCCATGTCTACCTCACCCAGCCCCAAGCCATCTGCCTTCCTAAACTCAATAGGAGTCATCCGAGTCTCCCAGTATCTTTTTTCCCCTTGGCTTAGAGCTACTCATAGAAATGCAAATCTGTTTTAATTAAGGTGGCTAATAAACAGCAATTATGTTTGCAGCAATTTTTGTTTTGTTCCTGGCATAATTTTGCCTGTTCTCCAGGTTTGCTGCTCTTAGCTCTCTTCCCTCTGTTTTCTGCCATCTAAGTCCCAACCATCACCCCAGGGATTGCAAAGTGGGCGGAGGTTTCCCACCCCTGCACGCGTGGCTTCACTGCGCAGCGCAGCCAGGAGGGGAGCTGGGCAAACGGCTCAACCAGCGGCTCCTCCTCTCCTCTTCCACTGCCAGGTGGCATCAACAGGAAAGACTTAGGTTAGACGACAGGCAGAACCAGATGGGAAGCACTTTGGAATAGGCTCTGCTGTAGATGGACTCCCTTGGATGTCCAATGTGGTAAATGAGACAGGCGCGTTCGGAACCTGACATCCATAGAGGTGTCACACGCGCACGCATTTGCGCACACGATGGGCTAATTCTGGGGTCGGTCGAGAGCCATGGTCTCACCTGGGCTGAGATCCTGAGACATAGTGAGATTAAAGTAATGCATGTGGCCAGCGCATTCCCCCGTCCAGGAGATCTCTGCCCTTGGAGAGGGACATCTTTCTCTTCCTCCCCCGTTAACCTCGCTGAGGACACCCAGTTTGTTGGGCAAGAGCGCCGTCTGCTGGATATTTGAGAAATGGTTTGAAATGGGACAGCCGGCTAAGGTGGCGGTGACATTCCTTAGCATAGCCTTCATCCCCACACCGCCCCCTACTCCCTTCCCAGGCTCACCACCTTCTTCCTAAAGCTTTCCCCATCCACCAGATAGAATTATTCTCTCTCCTCCAAAGTCGCTTAGCACTTTATCTGCACCGCCCCTATGCTACTAACACCACCTTTTATTACAGTTATATGTGTCTTCTGGGGATTCTGACTTCGAAGCATTCCCTCCTGGTTCCTGGACAGGTTTATGACTGAAAGCCTAATTTATCTCTGAGTGCCCTACCTTGCGCTCCACCTTGCACATGCAGGCCTCCACTGAATGTTTGCTGAATGCTTGGATTAATGAATAAAGTTCTGAACCCTCCAAAGAGAGCACCAACCAGGCATGTGCCCTTCCTGGAGCCCTAATGTGACACTGTCTCCCCAACAGGACCTCCCATCATCTCCAGCACCCAGACACAGCATGCCCTCCACGGGGAGAAAGGCCAGATCAAGTGCTTCATCCGGAGCACGCCGCCGCCGGACCGCATCGTGAGTGCTCCAGGGAGGGGGGCCAGGGTCTGGGCCAGTCGGGGTGCACCTGCCAGCCTCCTCTTCCCAATGGAGAGAATTATACCTGCCTTATCTCTTTTGGAAAAGCATCGTGAAGACAAAGTTACAGGCAGTCTCCTTTCTCAGCATAGGCTGTGCTCCCAGGGTCTGTCTGCCATTCAGCTCAGTGCCAACATTAATTGTTCTAACCCAGTTCTACATCCTAGAGGCAGGCAGAGGGACAAGTGAGGGTAGCAGAGGGAAGAGACAAATGATTTCTTCCCTTTCCTGGGTTCAAGGCCAGTCTTTGGCGATATCTTGAACGGAGTGCAGTTTATAGTTTGCTACCCCCTTCTGCACCTCTGAGAGTCCTCCTCTATAAGTCTTCGCTGCCCTTCACGTCCATGCGGAACCCTGCCCGTTTATCAAGCATTGTTCCTGCTGAAATAGTCATTCCGTTCTCCCTCCCTTCCTCAAAACCCTCACCCCTGCAGCCTGCCACTCAGGCAACCTAAAGAGCTTACCCGTAGCTCCCCACCCCGAGGTATTTTGCATTTCTAAGAGTGAGTGTCTTGCACCCAAACTTATCTGAAATTGGTGGAAGCTCAGGCATGAAAACAAAGAAAAGTTAGCATTTTGTAGCACTCTTGGGAGAAAGATTATTTTTGGTAATCCCCAATGTCTAGGACAGTCCTGCTAGAGGATTACAGAGGGGTCAGCCCCCAGGACAGTTGTACCTTTTCACAGGACAGCAGTGCCAGGGAGGGTGGGGCTGGGCCAGGTAGTGAGTCACTGAGAGCCCCTGTGTGCCAGGGGCTGAGACACCAGGCTGTGCAAACCAACTGCCGTCCTCGTGCGCTAAGATGTTACTGGAGTGTTACTGCTGCTACACACTTTCTCAGGCATTTGGTTCATTCACTCTGAAAGGTCCACACAAAAATCGCAAGAACTCACAAAGAGAATAAATACCTATGCCTCTCTGTTCACTTTACTCTTTAATTTTAAATGTAACACATGCCCATTGTAAAATATTCCGTTCTCTCTCAAGCGTTTTCACACCATCTTTCTCTTCATAGACATCTAACTCTAGACAAGTGGTTCTTACTGACCCCAGGGAATATTTGGCAAGGTCTGGAGACATTCAAGGTTGTCACAGTATGGGGCAGGGGGTACTGGCACCTAATGGGTGGCAGCCAGGGATGCTGCTAACACCCTGCAATACATAGGATAGCCCCAACACAGAGAGTGATCTGGTCCAGAATGTCAGGAACAGACATACAAAGTAACAAAACTAGCCACAGTCATAGCCACAGTCACGTGGGGCCACTCTTCTACCTCAGACCTGCCAAGCAGGGAGCATCTGTGAGGACACAGGGTGGGTGTGCACCAGTGCTGCCTAAGAGCCCGCTCCACCTGGACAGTGCTCCCAGTGCAGACCCACAGAACTTCCCCTTCTTGGATGGAAATACCCTCTGAGGTGGCCCCAACCTCTGTGTGTACCTGAGTTTGTGGATTATGTGTACATGTGATGTGTTATGGTGTGGTGTGTGTGTGTGTGTGCACATGTGTGGTGTATGTGTGCACATTATGGTGTATGTATGTGTCATGTTGTGTGTACTCGTGCTTGTGGAGTGTACATAACTGTGTGTACCTGTGTTGGTGGTATGTGTGAAATGAATTAGTGTATTTGATATGTCGGGGTGTGTGTTTATGTGTGTTGTGGTGTGTATATATGTCTATATGCATGCTTGTGATTTGTGGTATGTGTCGTGTTCTCTGGTGTGTGTGTCATGGTGTGTGTGCATGTATACATGTGTCTGTGGTATATGTATATGTGTTGCGGGGGTTATGTATGTTGTGCTATGTGTTGTGTGGTGTATGTACTCATCTCTTTATGAATGTTTGCAGTGTGTGGTGTAGTGTGATGTGCATGTGTTGAGACATATATTCATGTGTGTTATGGTATGTACACGTGTATGCATCTATGTGGTGTTGTATGGTATGGGGGGCGGTGTGTGATGCACATTTATGTGTGTTAGGATGCATGTACATGGGTGTCTGCTTGTTTTTGGTGTGGTCCGTGTGCACATGTCTGTGTATGCACGCTGGTGGTGTGTGTGTTGGGGGGCGGGGTGTGATGCACATTTATGTGTGTTAGGATGCATGTACATGGGTGTCTGCTTGTTTTTGGTGTGGTCCGTGTGCACATGTCTGTGTATGCACGCTGGTGGTGTGTGTGTTGGGGGGCGGGGTGTGATGCACATTTATGTGTGTTAGGATGCATGTACATGGGTGTCTGCTTGTTTTTGGTGTGGTCCGTGTGCACATGTCTGTGTATGCACGCTGGTGGTGTGTGTGTTGGGGGGCGGGGTGTGATGCACATTTATGTGTGTTAGGATGCATGTACATGGGTGTCTGCTTGTTTTTGGTGTGGTCCGTGTGCACATGTCTGTGTATGCACGCTGGTGGTGTGTGTGTTGGGGGGCGGGGTGTGATGCACATTTATGTGTGTTAGGATGCATGTACATGGGTGTCTGCTTGTTTTTGGTGTGGTCCGTGTGCACATGTCTGTGTATGCACGCTGGTGGTGTGTGTGTTGTGATGAGTGTTTGTATATGTTGTGTTGTGTATACATGCATGTTTGTGGTGTGTGAATACACACCTGTGTGGACATGTGCTGGTGGTGTGTGTGTTGTGATGTGTGTGTGTGCATGTTTGTGTTGTGTGTGCACATACCTGTGTGGACACGTGCTGATGATATATCAGTGAGCATGAACCTGAGCCTGGCCGTGTCAGCACCTGGAGCAGCGAGGTGGCATGGGGGTCCTGGTGTGGGCATCTCTGGTGGGGTCTCCTCCTAATTCTGTGCACCTGGGCAGGCCTGGTCCTGGAAGGAAAATGTGCTAGAGTCGGGGACATCGGGGCGCTACACCGTGGAGACCATCAGCACCGAGGAGGGGGTCATCTCTACCCTGACCATCAGCAACATCGTGCGGGCTGACTTCCAGACCATCTACAACTGCACTGCCTGGAACAGCTTCGGCTCTGACACAGAGATCATCCGGCTCAAGGAGCAAGGTGAGGGCTGCCAGGGCCGCAGATGAACGCCATGACTCAGGGCCCCCTCCCGGCCTAGGGCAGGGCCCCAGGCAGTCTTCCCAGGTCTGCTGGACAGAACACCTGTCAAGGCTACCAGGTGAATAGAAGCCCAGGAACAAGTCGCGGGTTTCTGCCTTACTGGCCATGAAGCCTTGGGCCGGCCTGCAGCCCTCCTTGGCCCAGCTCCCCTCCTGAAGCTGGGGACACCAGGCTTCACCAGGAAGGGGGAAAGGGAAGGGAACTTCCAGCAGCCCCTGAGGGAAAAGCTTCAGGTAAAGATGACCTGAGAGCAGCCAGGCCGGCCACCATGACGAGCTGTCCACAGCCTCCAAAGGCCCAGCTTCCGTGCACTCTGCCCTCACTGTGGGCCCAGACTGATGCCGAAGTGCCTTTGGCGGGCATTTTGCCTGAGGGAGCATGGGGACACACTGGTGGGGACATGTGGGGGAGCCCAGCCCCAGTTGAAACAACAAGCCAGCCCGGTTACCCAGAAGTTGCACGGAGGGCACCCAAGCTGAAGCTAAGCACCTGGTGTCCCGACCCTGTGTCGGGTGCTGGGCTCAGACCCTCTGAGTCCCTGGGAGGGACCACTGTGTGGTACAGGAGACGCCAGCAGGAGGGTGGCACTGGTCAGGAGGGCACAGAGCAGCCGGTGGGTGAGAGGGAGGAGGAGGGAGGAAGAAACCTCACCCCATGGTGCCCCGCGTGCAACCATCCAGCCCCGGTCAGGGGATGCTGAGAACTCCAGTCTCCACTCAAGTTCTCGGGCACAGACCACAACCTCCGGAGCACCAAGGGACGGTTCTGCTAAGCACACAGTGGCAGCATGCCCGTCCTGAGGCGGGCTGCACATCCCACCCCTTTGCCAGCCAGGACCAAGCCGTGGTGGACCAGAGATTCATGCTCAGCCTGGCCTGGGCCTCTGGACAGGCATTGGGGACCAGGAGGCTTTGGTCCTGGCTGTCTCTGATGCCATCCGGGGTGAAGGCCTACCCACAGGCTGCCAGGCCCTGGCAGGAGATTGTAGGCCAGCAGGGGTCCTGCCTGGGCCCCCAGGCCTTGGCGGATCACACGGTGATCGCACCTACGGATCAAACCATAAAGCATCTCCCACCTCTGCCCTAATAGGTGCTGCTTTGCATAATGCTTTGCACATAATTTGCATAACACCATCCACCCATCATTCCAAACCTTCCCAGCCCCCTGCCACCTACCCTCCGTGTCTTTCCCTCAGTGCCCCCATCCCCATGCCCTCCCCAGACCCCCCAGACTTGAATTCTCTCTCTCAGGTCCCTACCCCCTCTGGAGTCTCTAAGTCAGTCTGAAGGAACTCCAAGTTCAGTCAGGCTAGCTGGGATACGTGGGGTGGTCCCAGAGACATGACAGAGGAGGGAGCCCCTCACCCCAGCCCCCTCCAGGTGGCCGATCCCCTGTCCTGCCCCGCCCTGGCCAGCCAGGCCCTGGCTATGGACGCTTGCTTTATTTCCAAACAGGTTCGGAAATGAAGTCGGGAGCCGGGCTGGAAGCAGGTATGGAAGGAGACGATGAGAACTGCTCTGGGAGCGGGGAAGGGACTTCCTGGCTAGTTGGGGAGGGAACCCCAAAGGGGGTAGGGAGGCCTGTACAGGCCACTAATGTCTCTACCCTCCCCCATCTCGAGGGTTTAGTGCAGTCAGAGCAGCAGGGTCAGGGGCTCCAAGCCAGCTTGGGGCTAGGGACCCCAGAGACCTGTCTCCTGGCTGCTGCCAGAGCCCCGCAGGCTCCTCCCTCCCCAGGACCCTGGCTCTTGCTCCTCGCTCTCCGTTCCTTCCAACTCCTCTCCTCGGAAGCCCTGGCTCCTGTCCTCGGGGGTCAGCTCGCCCCTCCTGGCCGCCCTGCCTCTTCCTGCTTCTCAACATCCTCACCAGCTTGGCCATTGCCTCCTGGATGCCGGGCCTCCCAGGCCCTGCTGGGGCCTGTGTGATCCATGCTTGCCAGCTTGCCACCCCCTGCCCTGCAGTCCCCCGTGGAAGTGCCATCTCACCCGTACTGGGGCTGCTCGGCAGTGCCCCCTCCACAGGTACCCAGCAGCAAAGTGGTCATCAGGCTCCCTGGTTGAATTGCTCTGTCTTAGGACCCTACAGGAGACAATCATCCCCACCCTCAAGCAGAAAACCAGAGTCTGGACATAGCAGGCCACTCTACAGGGCCATCCAAAGCCATGCTGCAGACTTGGGGATCTTCGTCCCAGTTCTCTTGCCACTCTGGCCGCTGGCCCATGTCACTTCCTTCAATGAGCTCCATGAGGGACCCACACACCCCCTCCCCTCTGGGCAGATGTATCCCTATAGGAGCACCAGTCCTGGGCACAGGCCAGCTCACAGAAGCCCCTGCAGCCCACGCAGAGGAACCTTGATAGTTGTCAACCTCTGGCTGTGCTCTCCCTGACTCCCCTCATGGTCCACCTGGTGCTGAGGGGTGGTACCCTTCTCCTCCATCTCCATTTCACTGTGTCTGCTCACTTGCAGCCAGTGCTCCCTGACACCTCCCTTGGTGGCTGGGACTCCTTGTGCCCAATCTATCTCCTTGGATGAAGAGGAGGTTCAGCGAGGACAGCCCCTCCCTCCAGCTCCTCTCCAGGAGACGTCTGAGGGATGCTCTGTCTGGAGAGAAGCAGCCTGCATAAGGCAGCCTAGGCCAGACCTCAGGGAGCCAGGCAGGCTGGGAACTGGAAAGGATGCCACCCCCAGGGTCTCCCTGCCCCCTCAGGTCCCCAGCTCCTCCTCTGCCCCTGCCCACCTGCTTGGAGACCAGTCTCCAGCTAAGATGGTGCCTCCCATGCCCAGCTGTTGCTAACTCAAGGAAATGAGGACTCACAGGATGCCAGAGTCAGAAGTCACCTTAGATAAACTGCCCCAGCTCTCTAGGTTTATAGATGAGCCATGGAAGCCTGGAGATGTTAAGGAACCTTCCACGGTCATGCTTGGCTCTGAGTTCAGCTGAGGCAAGACCTGAGTTTGTCCAAGGAAACTTACTAAGAATCAAAGGAGAAACAAAATCAAGCCCAAATTAATAAAATTCAAAAGCATAGAACCAATGGGCTTCTAGAGCAGTTTTCCTTTCCTAATGGAATTAAAACATAGAGATATCCATTTGTCAAAGCAAGCTCAACTGAGGTCAAGTCCCTATTCTCAATCCTGGTTATTGAGACCAACCCAAACACTTCCTATTTTTAATCCTTGAGTGTTTGCCACTCCTGCCTCCTCTTGGTTCCCTCCCCTGTCATTCCAGCAGTGGTTTTGGCAACCAATAGGTAGGTAATGAGTGAGTTAGTATGCAAGTCTTGGGTTGGCAGAGAAATGTACCAGCACAACCACACGCAACCAACCAAGAGGCACCAGCCCTCTCCAGCAGGTGTCCCCACCACCCCCTGACACCTCCTCCAAGCAGCATCTCCAGGGGCCAGGGTTGAGGGGTTTTCTCTCTCTTCCTCTCTCTAAAGAAAACAGTAATGAGAGGCTAACCCACAGCCCCAGAATAAATACCTAGTTGTCCCTCAGGTCTCCACACTGGTGAATGTGGAATGGCATGGGGAGCTCAGCCCTTAGAAGGAACCTGTCTTTAAGGTTTTGATCTGCTACAGCCCCTTCTTCCCATACAATACCAGGAGCAAATACTCGAACAGGGCAGGGTGCCAGCTCTGTTCCAAGGCCTTCACCTGCATTCACTTGTCTAAACCCCAAAATAACCCTCTGAGGTTGGCACTATTAGTATCCCCATTTCACAGATAAGAGAGGCAAAGTAAGTTGCTCAGAAGTGATGGAGCCTGGACTCAAAATACCCAGCAGTCTGGCTCTGCAGGGATGTGGGATTTGGAGGATGCCATGTGATAGTGGATGGAGCTGGGCAGGGCACGAGCAGATGAGTGGAGGGGTGGGGTAGTAAGAGGAGTCTTGGATTACCCTGGCTCTACTGCTGTTGTGTGTCCTTGACCAAGTCACTTGACTTCTCTGGACCGCAGAGTTTCTGTCTGTAAAACAGGAGGCTTGGGCTCAGTGGGCCGCAAGGTTCCCTGCCCTAGCATTCTCTAGTTCTATTCCTGATGGACTCTTCAGGGCCCCAAATCTTGTGCTCTGGCCCCATCTGCAGCCACAGAAGGGCCAGGGCATCTGGAATATCACTCTCCCCACCCCCATCATCACTCTCCTTCTGCCCACCCCCACTCAGCCAGGGCAGGAGACAGACTGCAGAAACTTGGCAGGGAGCGAGGGCCGCCCAGCTGAAGCTCCGGGCCATAGCTCGCTGGTAGGGAGCCAGGACGCTCAGAGCACCAGTCTGGAAGGAAAAGCAGGAGGACTGGGGGTCAAGGAAAAGGGCATTTCTCCTTGGAGAGGTGACAGAGCTGTGGTCCTGCTCCCCTGGCCCCTGAGACATAGACGCCTGAAGCTACAATTCCTAGATGCCCAGCAGTCCCTGAGGGGATGCTGCCTCAGACCTGAAAACTCTCCAAGAGCTGGTTGTCCACATGCAAATTCTTTGCACCTGAGAAAGGGAGGAGAAGGAAAGAACAAACAGAACAAACAAGGGCAGTGACCACAGTCATTCCTCAGAGAACAGCCAGGACGCATGATGCATCAGCCACTGCATGATAGGCATTAAAGAGAACTAAATTGTGCCAGCCTCACCCCTCATCTCCAGTATTCCTCTCCCCTGGCCCTCCCTTCTCTGTGTCTGCCTGCCTGATGTCCCTCCCCTGCCCCTTTCCCCATGTCCTCCCTGCCCTCTCCTCCAGCCCACCCCCTCCTGTGTCCTCCATGCCCATCTTCCCCATCTTCGCAGTCCCAGCTAGAGCTGATTCCTGTTGGACGCTGCCTGTGCCTGTGCAGGCCCCACCCAGGCATTTCCCAAGAGGGGCTCATGTGGCAGGGCTGCACCCAGGGGAACTGGGTGTGGTCCTAGGGGGACTGTGGGCTGTCCCCATCCCTCCTCAGCTGTGCCCACTTCTCTTCCACAGAGTCCGTGCCAATGGCTGTCATCATCGGGGTGGCCGTAGGAGCTGGCGTGGCCTTCCTCGTCCTCATGGCAACCATTGTGGCCTTCTGCTGTGCCCGTTCCCAGAGAAGTACGGGAGGGAGACCCGGGATCTCAGGGAGGGGGACAGAGAAAAAGACCAGGCTTAGGCTGCCCTGGAGAGCAAGTAAGCAGGAATACAATGAACAGGGGTCCTCACAGTGCTGTGAGCTCCTGGGGCAGGGATCAGGTGTGATGCACCGTTCTATGTGTGTGCCTTGCGTGGCATCCGGCACAGAGCGGACACTCAGCTGATGCTGAACTGGACTAGACCAACCTTCATCCAGGCAGGGCAGTCAGACAGCCTTTGGTTTGAACACATACAGCACTCTCAATCAGGAACTGTATAGAAATCCAGGGGAAGAAAGAGGTGATTTGATCTTTTGCTCTCCAAGAGCTGTTAAGTCTAACCAGAAAAGCAGGTCACCCATACAGGGGGAAAACGTCACTCAAGGAATTGCTTTGAGCAGACTCTCAAAGGTTGTTAGTCACTAGCAATAAAATTCTGGTGTTTGTGCACTCAAAGAGTTGTGTGTACCCAGCATTTCCATACTGGTCACAAAAGTTACATGCGATAGACAGACATGTGCAAACATAGGATGGGATGGCAGAGGAGGTCAAGACAACGGAGACGCAGTCTTCTGGTCCTGCCTTTTCCACCATGAGACCTTGGGCAAACCACAGCACTTCCAGGCCTCAATTTCCTCATTTGTAATACGAAGGGGTTGGGTGACATGACTTTTATGGCCCCATCTGGCTCTGACATTCTATGAGCGTGTTCAGAGTAAGCCCCTCTGCCACTTGGCTGCTTTCACATATTGGAAGAAGGCTGCATGTTCCCTTACATTCCTCCACTCTGACCTGAGCAGCCTTGGCTCCCGTGACTTCCCCAGCAATGTGGTCTCAGGACCCCCTTCACTGCCCTCTGTGTGGAAATTGTGGGGGAGCACAGTTTAGAAAGAATTTTCTAACAGTGCTCCCCAACTAGAAGCAGGCTGCCTCCTGCAGAAACAGTAACGCTTCCGTCACAGAGGTGTCAACAATGACGCTGCACTACTGTGTGTGTATGCTTCTGCTTTGGCCAGGAGGTTAGCCATGGGCACCTTAAGGTTCTTGCTAACACTAAAGGTTGTGGTTCTGTGATTGGAGAGATCAGAGCCTGGTAGAGCAGGTCAGTCCTCATTCATGGACCATAATCCACCCAGCTGTCCAAGCAGAAACCTGGACAACCAGGTTAGAAGCTTTGAGTGCATACTGTGTCACAGTTGTAATATGAAGGATTAGTGGCAGCAGGGCTGGGCGTAAAGACCATGGGTTTCTCTGTGTCTCAGTGTCCTCCTCTATGAAATGGGCGTGAGAGTAATAGTATACAGGGTCATAGTGAGAGTGAAATGGGTAAAGCCCAAAGAGCCTGGAGGCCGTGGAACACAATTAAGTGGTCAATAGATGCTGGCCATTTGTGTTGTTCTGAAATCTCCCACTAGATGGTGAGCAGCTGCTGCTTTACTCATCCCTAGGTCCCAGGGCCTTACCAGGTCCCTAGAAGACACTCGCAATGTTTATTGAATTGCACTGACTTTTCCCTCTGCTGCCCCTGTTTCTATCCAGTTGATTTTCAGGTCCTGTCAATTCCACTTAAAAGTTCATGGAAAAATAGAACTAGGAGATAACACGAATCTTTCCATAAACTTTTTGAAGTACCCTCGTACATATGGCAATCTTCTGAGTTCATTTCCCCATCCTTTCCTGGGGGAAAGTGGAGGTTTAGCCCACCCTCTCTCTACTGAGCAGATATTTTTGGATTGTAGATAGACCGGGGTGAGTTCCAACAAGACTCAGTACTGAAGCAGCTGGAGGTCCTCAAAGAAGAGGAGAAGGAGTTTCAGAACCTAAAGGTAAGAATAGCCATAGGTTATATATATGTCACAGCCACAAATATGGTCTTCAACTCTGGCCTGAGCCCCAGATCCACACAAAGAATGACAGCAGGCAGGAGAAGAGACGGGTCAGAGGCCAGCTTGGGGACAGGTGGCCCGCTCCCTAAGGTGGGACACTCCCCTGCCTAAGGCAACTGTTCCCTCCACCCCAACACTGAGGAGGATGAGAGAACTGAGGCTGAGTTCCCAGACTCTCCTCTGCTCACACATAGATTTCACAATTAAGTATTCATGTTCCAGACAAAACAAAAGACAATTAAAGTCTGGATTTCAAATGATCTTGCATTATTGCCCTGCCATGACCCCGGTCAAAAGCCTCTTCTTCCCTCCCTCAGCGCCGTACCCCTCCCTGCACCGCTCTGCTGGAACACCTGCCAGCTAGCGCTCTCCCCCCCACCATGTGCAGAGTACTCCTGTCCCTTCCTCCCCAGCTGTTCCTCCCTTCTCTTTCCCCTCACCCCTCCCTGTGTCAGGCATGCCCGGCTCTGCCTAGAAACCCCCAGTGATGTGCCTCTCGCTCTTGCGCACAGGACCCCACTAATGGCTACTACAGTGTCAACACCTTCAAAGAGCACCACTCGACCCCCACCATCTCCCTGTCCAGCTGTCAGCAGGACCTGCGTCCTCCAGGCAAGCAGCGCGTGCCCACGGGCATGTCCTTCACCAACATCTACAGCACCCTGAGTGGACAAGGTCGCCTCTACGACTACGGGCAGCGGTTTGTGCTGGGCATGGGCAGCTCGTCCATCGAGCTTTGTGAGCGGGAGTTCCAGAGAGGCTCCCTCAGCGACAGCAGCTCCTTCCTGGACACGCAGTGTGACAGCAGCGTCAGCAGCAGTGGCAAGCAGGACGGCTATGTGCAGTTCGACAAGGCCAGCAAGGCCTCTGCCTCCTCTTCCCACCACTCCCAGTCCTCTTCCCAGAACTCTGACCCCAGTCGACCCCTGCAGCGGCGGATGCAGACTCACGTCTGAGCATCACACACCATGGGTGGGGACGGGCCAGGGAAGTGGGCAGGGCATGTTCTGGTTCTCCAGGAACTAGGGGTACTTTGCAGAGGACCGCAGAACTGGCCACCTCCAGGACGGCCACCGAGCACCTGTACCACCACCCTCCTTCGAAGCTCTGATCAAGCACAAACGTGGGTCTCCAGCTGCAGTGTGCCGGAAGCAGGCGAGTGGGGAAATGGACAGAGGATGCAGCTGAGTGCACTGTGCTTGGTGCTGGATACCCTTGTCTCCAGCCCTTTCCTGGAGGCCCTTCTACCACCTGCTCCTCTTACAGGCACTAGTGGCAGCTATAAGTTTGCTTTCATGAAACTACCATCCACTCTCCAGTCTGCCAGTGGGCTCTCCCCCTTGCCACCCGTAGCCCTACCCCTCTGCTTGTGCTCCTGTACAGCCCTGGGGAGAAGCGGGGTGACATTTTTCCCAGCACTGAGCTGCCCCAGAGACCCTAGCTCCGTCTGCTGCTCGTAGCGCATACCTCGGAGCCTGAGAAGCCAGAAATGGCCCTGGCCAAAGGAGCATCTCTCTCACCAGGCTGGCTGGGAGCCCACCCCCAATTTGTTTGGTGTTTTGTGTCCATACTCTTCCAGTTCTGTCCTTGGACTTGATGCCTCTGAACTCTGAGTTGGGACTGGCCCAATCACATCCTGGTGCACTGGGTGGGACAGGGAGGGGAAGGAGAGAGTGTGAACACTCGGGGAACCTCTTGCCCAACAACCCCCTCACTAGGCTATGTGATTCAGACCCCCCCCCCCACCTCCATCCCCACTTTGTGTACTCCCTCCAACCCCACAGCACAATCAGAGTTCATACAAGAAGTGTGAGAGCTTCTCTGGTCAGAGTTCTTTGAACAGTCACTGGAGAGAATGCTTCCTGGAAAGTGCCGGGTTTGAAGGCGCTGGAGGTCAGGTTTTCAAGATGATGAGACTCGCCTTCTCAGCTGATGAACACAAAGAACAATGATGCTGTCTGCAGTAAGACTCCATGGGCAAGAGAGAAAGTATATCTGCACCTCACCCCTCCTATTCACCACCTGAGAATAAATGTTAGGGTTATTACGCCAATAAAGCCGTTCTGTTCTTTTGTTCCTGCAGAGCCAAGGAACAACCCAAGAGCCAAGAACACTTTGGGAACTCAAAGTTCTCTGCCCTTCTTTGATTCAATTCTCCTAGACAATAAAGGCAGTTGATTGCTCTCGTTGTGGTAGCCATAGAACCCACAGGCAGACTCCCGTTGTGCATGAGCCCAATCCAAAGGAGGTGCAAAAGCAGGACTCACCGGACAAGTTAGAGTGCAGTGCAGGGAGTGGGACTCCAACGGAACTTTGAAAAACCCACATTTTCCTGAGGTTGGAGGTTCTTCATGAGTTTTAGACGCTTCTTCTCCAACCTTTCCTGAGAGTCCTTATCCATCTCAGAACCCTTCATCACACAAATTTGTGCTTCTTTCCAGACACTGATTCCTTGGACAGCCCCAATCCACGGGTTCTGTGCATAGTCTTCACAGCTCCTCCACTCAGAATTTTCTGCTTCGGCCACATATTTCCTAGTGCTTCGAAATCCCCCAGTTCCTTGGATACCTTCCTTTGCAGCCTCCAAGCCTGATTAGAAATGTAAGTGTACCTCCCAATCCCACATCCTGCTCTGGGTGCCATTCTGGACTGGCATAGACACCAGAATACTGGCCCCTGCCCTCTCTAGATTGATCTAGACAAACTTTCCCTATTCCCGTATATGTTTTCCTTGCCAACAGGGAACAAAGATCCAAGGCCATATGCAAAGAGCTTTGGCATGCTAGAGTAAGGAAGAGGATGACTTAAGAGGATTTGTCCATAAATTTCTCCTGTTCTTCCCCACCTTGAATGTGGGTGTACAGTCTACCTCCTTATCTTCACGATAGCCTACTTTGCCCCTTGCCACCTCTCTCTCACACACACACACACACACACACACACAGCTATAGGATGGAGATGTCCATTCTTTCCTGGAACCCAAGGCTATGACAGAATAACTGGAAGAACAGGTAAGAAACTCTGTTCTGTAGAACAGAATGAGCCCTTCTTTCTGTGGCTCGGGCACTCCCAAGGTAAGAATGTGGACTGTTATAAAAGAGCAGAGACCTCCAGGGCAGCCACAAAGACTGGCTCTGTGGTGCCCAACCCTTGGAGCTCTCTCCACTGCACAAATACAGCAAAGAACTGCCGAAGGGATAGGAGATCACAAGTGCAGTCTTTGTGACAGAGAAGAGCATGGAGGGGAAAAATGAGAGGGACCCGAGGGACTCCGGAGCATTAAGAAGGAGCCCAGACTGAGCTATGTGCATCCCTCGGTTGTCTCCAGCCCTATTTACTTCTTGCAAAGGAGTGAGGGTGCAGAAAAGCTGGTAAGGGGATGTTAAAAGGCATTAAGAAGCCCTAAATTCCCCTGTAGGTGATTTCACATTAAATGAAATGAGTGCAC